AGGCCATTTTTGTTCCCTGCTGAAAAACTTGAGAATAGGCCTAATTTCATAAATACTCTCTTGATGGTTTTTTTTTTTTTCTCTGAGAGGCTTGTTTCTCTGGATGTAGCCACAAGAAAGATGGTGGTTTCTCTGGATGTTCTCTGTGGAGCATGATGTCTAGCCATACAATCTAATCCTATCTGTGGGGAATAATTAATTACATACACTTTTTAGTAGCTTCCCTTCCCCCACCCATGTCCTTAGGTCTGCCTAGGGCAGTAAATATGTTTCTGCCCAACTGGTACTTCCTTTTCTCCTCTGTAAAACAGCTAATCCTGGAGTTAAGAGGTAATGACAGGCTTAATTTTAGAAGCATAGATCATATCTAATTCTGCAGTTATGCACTACTGTATAAGTGAAACATTTATGAAGGTTTTTTACTACAAAATATCTTGATGACAGAGATCTGTCAGATAACTTGAAAAGATCATGATGCCAGACTCCAGTTGCAGGCGACCTTATTGTAGTTCCCAAGCACAGTTAAAGAGTTTGGCTTACACTATCAGACCTTCTAGGCATTTTCAACTGTTCTAAAACAAGAAAAATTTAGGGATCTTCTAGATCTTCCTGTAGGAAGGGACAACTAGTCAAAGATGCAGATTTTCTGGGGACAAGGTTAATTCCTAAATCAATGCAGTATTATTGAGAATCATGGAAAAGCAGACTTCATGTTTCTTTAACTGGAGATACTAGTTGAACTGATAAATTGCCCAGCTTCTAAGTAAAAATTCTGGTTGATGTGAGTCATTATTGATGACAGTTGGTCACACTTGCCACAATTTTCTAATTCCTCTCTACTGGGTGAGACATTTCAGACTTGGAATTCTGCCAGTTTTGATAGAATGTTTTGTTTTGGTTACGTGTTAGCAATCTTGAAAGTGCTGAACAAATGCTGTAAAATAAAAGTTTGCCTTTGCATAGATGATGTTTATTCTGTAGAAGAGCAGTTTGTCTGGAGACTGGTTTGAACAGTTATGCCTGTTAGTCCTTGGCACTGCCATTTAAAATATTCTCTTTCATTTCCTTTAAAGAGTTGATACACAAGGCGTTTAACCTGTTGGTCTCTTGAAATTCATATCAGTATCACTGATTCATACACCGTAGTGTGAGAAACTTAGTGCTGATGAAAACAAATGTTTGTTCGGTATTAATTTATTTATTTTTTTTCTGGTTATGCAAAATAACTGTTTATAGCTGAATTACAAGCCTAGCAAGCAGTTCAAGAGCCAAAATGAGTTGTCCTCCTTTCACTTCTAGTAACAGGATGCATCAGGAGGTACAGCTCTGATAATAAATCTTCTACCTAATCAATATGCTGTGGTCAGGAGAATGCATATGTGACAGATGGATACCTTTCTGTGTTGTCTGAATACAGGGTTTTTTTGGAAAAAAAATCTCAGTTATTCATGCCAAGTTCTGACAAGTTAAGAAATTACTAAAAATTAAAAGGTATGGGAATTTAAAAATTAGTATATTGACAGTGCTTTTACTTCAGTCAGTGTGTAAGAGTTTGAAATGGATGCACTGCAGACCATGAAATGCTCAATGATACTTGGAACATTGTGATTGGACACTGATTTTAGAGGGAAGTATGAGCTGGCTAGACCCAAGTTCTCTGTTCCAGAACACAAGTTGCCACAGGTCAAGTTATCTGTGAGTGATGTAAACATGGAAGGACTCGCTTTTCCCAGCTCGGTAAAGAAATATTTGTTCTATGGCATGTAAATATATTATTTAGCCTCTAAACATGTATGTAGATAAGAAAGATAGTATCAAATGAATCAGCCAAACTCTGCTAGAGAAGGTGGGAATGGAGGAGCTTTTCATAGTGAAATGTTTCTGAACAGAGTTTCTTTCTAAAACCACCATCCCAGGAAAAGGTTCTGTTTTGTGTTGCTTCTCCCTTCACTGTACCCTGATAATCCTGAAAATTGGACGGTAATGAAGATGGCCATTTCTGAGAGTAAGAACAGCTAGAAGTATGTGTGTTTAGGGCAATGAAGGAAAGGGTGCAAGAAAAGAAAAGTAGTCTTTAAAAATACATCAGGAGAAAAGAACAACTGAAGCAGTACTTTCCAACCTGCGGTTTGTATTTCATTTGGCTAGAGGTTTTTTTGCAGCTTATGAAACAAGAGAGGGGAAGAGCTTCTTTTTCTGCTATTCCTGGCATCCTGTTACTGCCCTCTGCTTAATTTTAAGAAATGCAGTGTCAAAGGAGACCTTTTATTAGGTGATATTATGTCAAGACTAAACATAAACTTGGCAGAAATAATTCCATAACGTAGTTCAAAAAGTCTCCTGACTTTGTTAGCTCTGGAGTCTTTTTCTTTCCCAGCTAGCTGGAGAACTTCAAGCATGGCATCTAAGTAGTTTAAAAAGTGGTATGATAGGACCAGACAAAAAAAACCTGTCAATTTGTGTGTGATTAGTATGTGTAATTACATGTAAATAAATAAACTAGCACATGATTAATAGGCGAGAGTATTTCTTGGTGCAAGTTGAAAAAGGATTTGTAAATTCTAATTCACAACATAAAGTTTTTAAAGCAAGGAGAAATGGCAGCAACTTCTTTAATTAAAAAATTTTTACAGTAGCTTAACTAAAAATAATTGTCATCATTGCTTTGAAAGTTCTTTTTCTGAATTTTGGATACATGAAGCAAGGAAGTTCAAGTTTACGTTTACTTCTTAATTAATAAGAGGACCTTTCAAGTGTTTTCTTTTGATTATAAAATTTGGGGGTTGCACTACTGCAGTTGCCTAAACTCATGGGTTGGCTTGGGCTAGTTACTAATTTGTTAGTGGGCACTTCTTGAGAGTATATAAATGAATAGTTTTTGTTTTCATCTGCAGTAAATACTCTGCTTTGTAATTTATTGCCAGATACTGGCTCTACTTAGAGACCACTGCTTTTTCTGTAGAAACTGCAGACTGGAGGTTTTGTACGATTCTGTCAGTTTTGTGGTGCGTGTCTAAGCATCTCAGGAGAATTGAACTAGTGGAGGTCTTTTTGGTTGATTGTCTTAAAGGAAGGTGTCAGGATTACTTTCTGGCAGAGCTTTCATTGTCTGTACTCACCCGAGTCTCTCCTTTCAGGGTCAGCCCTACCTGAAGTTTTAGCTTTCACTGTACTGCATGGCCTATCTTTTTTTCCCTTGCCTTGTGTAAAATAAGACTTACAGGTCTGGCTAATGGAGAGAGTACCTTTTCTTTTGTCTTTGCTATAGGTAAAGAACTGTCAATAAAAATCTCCATTTAATTATTCTTTAAAATGGTTCCTGAAATAAAATTTTAACACTATAAATTGTTAGGTAGAACTTCTGATCTTAAGGTGAAATTTTACAAGTAGCTAAGAGCTGTATGCAAGTACATTGCACTATTGCTACTTAGAGTAGCCCAGAGTCATGGATTTCTTTTAATATTCTTTGTTGTGGTAAATAATCTCATTAATGTTGATCAAAAAGTGTTGATTTATACGTTTCCCTTTTACATCTTTTTTTTTGCAAAATGTTTTGAGTAAGTGAAGATACAACTGTTACTTGTGTTGTGGTGCTAATAGCTACACACTAGCAAAATATCTCTTGGTGTCAAGTGACTTTTAATTAAGTAAGTAAATACATGTCAGAAGAATCCATTGCAGAAAGGTCCTTCTGCCTAGTGTTACTAAAACTGTTAAAAAATATTTGAGGTGAGATTTTCCTTCCCAGCATATTCCATGATGGCCTATGTAGGTTTCAGAAAAGCTGGTTTATGATCTTCAATACTAGAACTGCAAGGATTTGTAAAAACAATTGTACTTTCTCTTCAGCATGGATAAGGTTGTTAATTTTCTTTCAGAGTAGGTTAGGGAATGGAAATTCTGGTTAAAAAAAAAATTAAGACAGGGATTTTTAAAAATGGAATTCAGTATGGAAGAGAGAAAAAAGAAAAATTCCATTAGAGTGTGATCCTGTTAGAATGGGAAATAATGGCAGTGTTTATTAAGTAGTTCAAAACAGAAGAAACAAATCAACAGATGAAAGCAGTGATGTGTCTTACATATATTTTGAATGTTTTACCTATGACTGGATCTAGTTTGCTCACAAGGTTTGCCAGGATGTTTGTAGCTGAAGGCTGTCTGATCCTAGGTTCAGGCCTTATGTCTTCACTAGTGTTTGTAGAGGGCTCAGTAGAATAGCTTCTGGTTTAGGTCAGTACAGGAGGAACAAAGATTTAGTTCACAGGCACTGAAACTGCTCTGCAAGCCAAAGCAACCCCCAGTAAGTGTGGTTGATTAGGGGTTTTATGTGCAAACTGTGCTACTGCTCTGGACTAAACCACTAATTTAGATCCAGCCAAGAAAGTGTTTAACAGTCATCTTTTGTCCATAATCTGTTAGGCATGTGAGAGATTTGAAAGCATATGGCTATGCTTGGGCATTTGAGGATAACAGTTGTTTTACTAAAATAAAGTCTGAGCTTCTAAACTGATCAGATACATTTCCTGAATGCAGTATGCTGGTTTTATGCTTGGTCCAGAATTTTGCTGGTGAGACATTAAATGATGTAATGAAATTGAAATAAATCATCTTTTCAATGTAGTGGGAGAGGCCAGAGGAGATGGAAATAATTCCCTTTGAGTTAAAAGCAGACCATTTTAATTAGCATGAAGGATGTCTAGGAAAATAAGAATTGGCATCTTGGCAGAGGAGTAGGAAAAAAGTGCATTTTGTTTATATTACAGACCTCTTATTTTGAGCAATAAGACTTAACTTTCAATCATTGCTAAAAATCTACTGTGACTGACAACTTTGATCAGGCTTTCCTATAAAGAATTGATATAAAGTAAATCAGCTGAAATAGTTTTTATCTGTATTATGCTTATATACTTACTAACATATTCTTCTGGAACTATTTTTTTGTTTGTTGAGAGTTTTTGTGGGTTTTAACAAGTGTTTTTGTTTGGTTTTTTTTAATGCAGTCCTTCCAGGGAAGCCAGGGACGAGCCTACCTCTTTAATTCTGTGTAAGTATGTTGTTAAGGTTATGCACACTGCCTACACTGTCGTTTTATTTGTATGCTTCCTAAGTGGAAAAGGTAGGAATTAATGTAGCTGCACTTTGCCCTGTTCCTTTTAACACTGGCTTTGCTCACCAGCAGTAGTTATTAAAGAGCTACTGAGCTGGTTTGTAAGGATCCCTTTGCACACATTAGTTTATCTTGTATTTTAAATAATTCTGCCAATAGCTGAAAGTTTAGGGGGGGTGTTAATGTGAAATTACTTTTGTGTATGTAATGGTAACTTTCCTGAGTAAGAGTTGCCATTCTGAGATATTCCAGAAGTCAGAATATATTGTGTGACTGTAAATTTTCTTTAGACAGCTCTGCTGTAAAGAATTTTCCAGTGCGATAGTTAGACACATTTACAGGTTAATGTTTCAGTAAACTTGGTACATCTTAAATGACCTTGAATGCTGCAAATGTGCTAGAAGCAAAAGATCTCTGTGGTCTTATCAGGCCTAATATTTGCAATTTTAGGCATGTCCTACCCATAATATGACACTTTGGATTTGCTAGTGGATGTATTTTAAGTTTCTGATATGCAGGATTGCATTTTTGCCTTTATTTTCAGCATTTTATTGTGTTGCAGCATTTTAGAAAAATAAATGCAGTTAAGTGTCTTAGTCTATTTTAGACCAGGAGAATGGAACTGTAACTGCAAAGGATTTGATTGTAGATCCTTGAAGTTCTTTTTAGCTGTAGTTATTCAGTCGTGACTTGGGACTTCTAGTATAATTATAGTAGTAAGAGTCTGCAAATACAACAGCAAAAATAGCAGATTCTTGCCTTTGTTTAACCCTGTCTAAAAACTTGGTTTAGTCTTGTCTCATGTTTTCTGCACTCTTATTAATGAAAAATTAGCTTGATGCAGTATTTGATAGGGTGTTTTGTTTTGATATTGCAGTTAGTTCATCATGGCTTAGTCTGCTGATCTTTAGCAAAGAAATATTTATGAGGCTTTATCCTTGCTGCTATTTTGGAGCTGGTTCTAAATTCAGCTGTTGGTGCTGATTTACTGGTACAGATTTCCATTATAGAGGTCTCAAACTGTTTTTGAAGAAAAGCCCTAAACTCCAGAGGTGTCCAATTACTGCTTAGTATTCTGTTTTCTGAAAGTTTAACTATTTAGGGTGTCTTTGTTGATGTGAGTAAGTGGGCATAACCAACATTTTGCAGTTTAGACTAGCTACCTGAAACAGAAACCAAACCCCTTATTTCTTCCTCTCCTTCAGCCCAGTGAAACAGAGGAAGTTACTTTTACAACATTGAATAAGTAAGGCCATTTTTTTATTTTTATAATTACTTTTTGTCATCTGGAGAAAAGTAGGTAACAGGTAAGAAAAGAAACACTCCTGCAGTTAATGTAATTTCTCCTTTTTTTTTTTTTTTTTCCAGGGTAAATGTGGGCTGTGGTCCAGCAGAGGAGAGAGTTCTTCTGACAGGTTTACATGCTGTAGCAGATATCTATTGTGAAAACTGTAAAACCACTCTTGGATGGAAATACGTAAGCAATCTACTTCAGTCTTTGATAAGTTTGACACTTAAAACACTTAATTGCCCCAGTTTAATTCTGTGTCTTGATTTTTCTTCTTTGCAGGAACATGCTTTTGAGAGCAGTCAGAAATACAAAGAAGGAAAATTTATCATTGAACTTGCCCACATGATAAAAGACAATGGCTGGGAGTGAATCATAATCTTTTTCCTTCTGTTTGGACAATATTTTGTGGAACATGCTTTACAAGGACTAACGCAAAGTACAGGAAGAGCTTGGCTAGAGTGGCCCTGAGAGTATCACTGAACTCTGAAACCTCACAAATGGGTAGTGTAGTGTAAGTGGCTATTTCAGGCCATGTTTGCCTTTTCTCCTTGTGTAAGTTCCCTCTTTTTGTACGTGTATTACTGTGTGAACAGTTGTTTTGGAACATTTTGGATGACCTTTTTCTAAACTCTCTCAAACTAGAGAAACAGTTCACTAACTGAAAACGGATTTTACTGGTTAGCATCTATCTCTGACCTATGCCTTTAATGCTACCTTCTGCTGTGCATGCTTCTTGCCTAAACACCTACACTCCAGTCCTGTAGAAGTTCTATATCTGAGCAGTCTGAAAGAATGTATGGGATGGGGTGCTTTTTTTATATGTAGCAATTTCTGATGTGTTTGGCAGTGAAGAGGATGCAGTATTATAGTTATTAATTTCTCTTTTAAATTTGAGTGTACCACAACCTATGTACATCTTGTAGGTGAATTGGTTAAAGGTACAGTGCTCACTTAAAAAAAACAAACTGAATTGCACTGACTGAAGTTAGCAGGTCTCAAGTTGTTAGGAAAGGTTATGCTAGAGATTTGGTATCTTAATAAATACCTTAGAAGAATTTTAAATTGATGATTCTATAGATTATGTTCATTTAAGACCAACATATTCCCTAAGGAGTTTGCTGGATAAGAAATTCATAAAACTATATCTTGCAAGATTAAAAAAGAAAAATATATGTATAATATTTTTTTTTTTTTTTTTTTTTAATTTAGTCAGTGTATTAAAATAAAAGTTTTGGTACTGTACCTTTGCCAGTAACAGGGACTTGTGCATCAGTGAAGTTTTATGGCTGGTTCCATGTAACTGTATAGTCCTAATGCACTGGACAAAGAGGTTGATATCAAGGAAACTTGTTGAGTTATTCTGCTTCGCTACATTTGAACAAAAATATTTATTTTTGTGAGAAATGGCCAGAGCCTATGACATGACAATTACTATTGTACCTGTAGGAAAAGGAAGGGTAATAAGAGGGAAGGGAAGTTTGACTCAGTTTTTCATAAAATAAAATAACAAGATAGTTTTTAAAACTTGGGGGTGGGGAAAGGGTTTCTTGGTTTGCTGGCTAAATCATCCCCAAGTACCTTTTTATAAGAAAAAATTATATGGAACTCACCTTCTCTTTTGTTGTCACACTGTTTCTTAAATGGAATGAGTTAATGAGAGAAACTTCTGGAAAATGTGTGCACTGTGTTAGCTGTTGGTGCATTCAAATTCTGAGCAACTATGAAAGAAATGCTCTACATGAATTGCTAACTTTATTTTCAAATTGAACAGTCTCTTAAGACTTTGTATTTTAATCCTCTTAATGCTTCAGGACAAAATGTTTGGAAAAAAACCAACCCTTTAACACTACATAAGTACTATAACTGAACCATATGGAAGCCTTGCAATACAAAATTGTTTTCTCTCAATAAATATTCTAATATGGCACCTGCAAAATTAAGTCGTAGGTGCTGTTGCTGCTGTTACATTTTTGGGAATCCCTGATAGGCTTTCTGAACTCTGCTGCACTTTAGAAATTTTGTCATACGTGAAAAATTATGCCAATGGGTAGGGGCAATAGAAATCTTTAAAACCAGCTTTCCAGTGTCTTTGTGGAGAGGAAGAGAGAGGAGAGAGTTTGCCCATGTGTACGCATTCTCTGTGATGCAGGCTGGCTTAAACTGCATTCAAGATGTTGTAGTGATTTCTAACTATGAATTAAAAATAAAAGAAGTAGAGAAGTAGTTAAAGCTGTTGGATTCCAGTCCAGAGACCTGAGGTAGTACAGTTGTCTTCAGTCTGGATTTTGTGGCTTACACGTTTGTACTTCATGTGCTCAAAGTCTCCTTTCTAACAATGTCACTGATGCAAGACAGGCTTTGGCCTGTCTCTTGATTTTTTTTTTTGACCTGGAATTCTTGAGGGGTTTGTTTTCCTTTGTTGTAATGTATGTTGCCAACAAAGAAGGCACTACAACTTCTATCAGCAAAATGCTCGTGTTGGCTTCAAAGTCCAGTTGCAATGTAGATACTTGTGAACGCGCTTATGTGAGGTCTGTGTATCTTTGGGCTTTTCTTGTTTCCTGGCTACAGACTTGCTGAAGCAGTACACCAGACTGAGGACAAAAGCAATGGCTGCTTTTCAGGAAAGAGTTGAAATTACTGAAAATATGTATTTAATTTTTTTCTCTCTAAAATTAGGGGTTTAGGTATCTCCTGTTAGTAAGTTAATGCTGTCTGCAACACAGTCTGATTTTTAGAAGTTCAACCTCTTTCTTCAGTGCATTATCTCTATTTCAAACTGGACATTTTCACCAAAACCTTAATTAACATTGATGCCAAAGGTTGGGACTTCATCAAGTGCTTAGCACATAGAGCTTCAGACTACTGGCATAAAGAGTTAATGATCTATATGTGATGTTTATGGCTTTTAAAAGAACCAAACAAAGCAATATTCTTTTTGGTCTTTTTAAGAGAGAACACATAGAAGAAGTAAAGAGTAGAATTAGTACAGAATTACTATCTCATGCTGCCATGTAACAATTCTTGAGGCTCATTTATTGAGGGAATATGTGAATTTTCTTCCTGTGTTGCTTGGCAGCATCAATGATTATTTTCTCCCCTTGTAAAGATGTAGAGAGTTCTTGTTATTGGTTTTGGTGAAAGTAGAATCCAGATAGCAATGGCTGCTGGCTGATGTGAAGTCAGTCTGGACACTGAACCCTCCAGCAGTCATTTGAAAGAAAAGTAAACTTACTTGAAAAAAAAAATTTACTAAAGCATTTTCCCTCTAACCAATTTTTGTAATATATTAAAGATTATATTTAAAGTTTGTATGTGTTTGCTCTGGGCAAGTTTACTTCCCCTCCAACTTGAGCACTTTGGTTACTTGTACTGGTTATTTTTATTGTTGGTCTTAACATTTATTTTGTATTTTGTTTTTTATAAACTGTAACAAAAAGCTTTTGTGAACCTTTGTTTCTTGCTGGCTCTTTCTTGGACCAAATGAACTTACTATGAGCTGGCTTAGAAGAAATGTTCATTGGGATGCATAGGAATTTGCTAGCAAAAATGTACATGTATTGGAAGATTTCTTTCCTCTGAACCTCTAAAGCCACACCTGTCCTAAAGTAATTAATGATAATTTGATGTGACTTTAGTAATCTGACCACACATTCTTTGTCTAGGTCCAAAATATCAGCTGTAAGAGTGGCTGTAGCAGTGTCCCGACTGAATCTGCCTCCAAACACTAAACTTGTTCTTTGGCTGGTTGCTCCAAAGTACCTTTTTGATTAATAAAAGGCAATGCTGCCATCTATAAAAAAAATCAGTTAAGTTGCAAACTTGCTGTGAAATAAGCTGCAGAATTTGGTGAGGGATTGTTGGCACAACAGCCTCACCACTCTTGCTGTATTTTTGCTAGACTTTTACCAGTCTAGTAATCTCAATTTTATCTGCCAGTAAAAAAGGCCAGAATATGAATGTCTCTCATTCACTGTAAGCTATAAAATGTCAAACTGTGTTAATGAGGTTTGTTGTAATTCCATCTTAAATATCCCCCTAGCAAGGCCTAATGTCATGGCCAGCTGGGGTGGTATGCCTTGTGTGCTTGCAGTCTTTCAGACTCTGTGGGAGAGGAGGGGAATTAGTTTTTTAACTTTTTTTGGATTAAAATCTGGCCTCAGAGGTTCTGACAAAGTCACCACTGCCACCATAACCACATGGTCATTTTTGTGTCTTACTGGTGTATCAAGTTAGTGCAGGGGTTCATGAGTGCTGGGTACCATTTTTGGCGGACTTACACTTCCCTCAGTAATGCTTGTGGAGCTTCTGCACGCTCATCTCAGCAGTCAGATTGCAACAGTCGTGACCTACAGTCTCACAGACCAAATTTTGAACATCTCCACTCTTTGATAATAATGGTGATGGGTGGAAGAAGCTGTTGAATTCTTGATAACCTTTTTGGACACTTTATCGTACTTCATTGAGACTCATGTTAAGCCAACCAGCAGTATAAACACTTACTGCAAAAGGAACAGACACTTCAGAGGTTTCTTTTGAAAGGACTGTTACAAATGGTTTGAGGCCTAAAGCATGAGTCGTAAATGGCAGTTTGAGTTGTGCCTCATTGTTTCTTAAACTCTTTATGATGCTTTCTTTTACAGGTGATATGGCTGTGTTGCTGTTTTGTCCTAGCAATACTGTACATCATTTGTTGTTTCACTATATTGTATCTACTTGAGGTATCACAATAAAAGCTTTCAATTGTTTTGGTGAGTTACTTTTTGGTTTTGTGCTATCTTTTCTTGTTAAGTAAATTGTCATGCTTTATTCTCTGATAAGGCCAGAGAGAAAAGGCAGTGCTTTTAGTTGCTCTTAAAAACTTAAAAATGTGAGTTGAATCTGGTTTTTATGTGGTTTTTAAGGCTGCCACTAAACATGTGTGTTTTTCCTTGATCTAATCTTTCAAAATTATAGAAGATTGTGCTAGTTTTAGAGCTTTTGTCCATTTTGAGCTAACTGTGGAACCTTTGCAGAGTGCTTTTAAAAAGAGTCAGTCTGTGCACACCACTAAACAAACTTTCAGAGTAATTGTAGGAAGTGTGGGTGTGCTTTCTGTTGTGTTATCTTGATCATCTGTGGAGCAGAGGACCACCCTGAGCACAGGCACTCTCAGTCTGCTATTTCTGCTTTGGTTGGGAGAAACTTTTGTAGTTCTGCTCAGATTAATGCTTTTCTCATGTTAATGGAGTTAAAGTCTACATTGTGAATCAGTAACAAGGATATGATAAAGATTGGTCTTCTCCATCCAGGAGCCTGGGTTGTAGTGGACTTGATAATGACACAGGTTTATTCCACCTGTGTATGTGCAGGAGACACAGTGTGCTGCCTGTACAACTGAAGGGATCCTACCAACAGTCCAATAGGAGCTTTTCCTTAAGTTTATGTCAGTACATCACTGCCTGGCTCTAACAGTGGCTCTTGGATTCTTCAGTGGAAAAATCTCTGCAAAACAGCATTTGGGTAAGAACGGATGATTAAGCAGGAGGGAGACTAGTTTCTGTGATAAACTGGCTACTTTCCTACCTACCCCAGTATACAGTTTGCTCCTTACAGTGGGGGGACACTTGGCTCATGTTCAACCTGGCAACTGCTGTAACCTCTAGATCCTTTTCAGTTTAAAAATCCAGTCTGTGGCACTCAGTGAAGGTTTAGTAAATTGTTGGGCCAAGCAAAGCCATATTTTCTCCTGCACATTGATCTGAAGGTGGTCATACTTATTTTAATGGCTGTGATTACAAGAGCAAACTGGGACTTCATTATGAATTATTAATGTTACTAATTGAAAATACTTCAATACCTTAGTTTAAACAAATCTCAAAAAAAAAAGCTTTGTTTACTGTTAGTAAAAATATCCTTTGAAATTGTAAAAAGGTACTATTGGAGTGATTTCATTTTCTATATAAACAGGTGTAGAATTATCCTTAATCATATTAAACCATGTGAAATAAATAATTTTCACGGAAGTGCTTCACACCACACTTTCCTGCTAGTACAAGATATAGGTGTGTACTAGGTAATATTAAAGTGTTAATGAAATTTTCCTGGAAATTCTCCTAACTCCAAGGGAGACTAAATTGTGACAATTCAATTATTTTTAGCATCATAAAACAATA